CCTCCCCTACCCCTGCTGCTCTCATCCTGGCGCTCTGTAACAGTCAGCGATGAACATTCACATCTTGACCCAACACAACAAACACTCAACACCACAGGGCAATGCTTTAAAACTTAAGAACTCACGTCAAAGTGAGCGGCAAACATGTCGTCCGACTCTGTAAACATGTCTGGAGCCGTGGGCTTCTTTGGATTGGCTCCTGAAAACACACAAAAAAAGGCAAAAAAAAAAAAAAAAACACATGATGGGTTTTTCTTCAACTTGCAGTATTTTAGAGCAGAATATCTAGAACATGTGTTTGATTCACATACGGTGCAGAGATCAATACATGCTGCAGGTGGCAGAGACACCCGGGCTTTGGACTACAAGCCAGCAACTGAATGAACACATGACAAGAAGACACACAATTAAGGCCGACTGCATCACACAACTCTGCAGCTGTCACACAAATCATGGGGTTGTTTCTTCATAAAAAAAAAACTAAACTCTTTTGTCGAAACAGTAGAAATGAAAACACCAGGTTAAGCTGGTCTTTAGAATTTGTGACGTAGTGGACGTTTGAGGACATCAGATGAAATGGATCCTGACCAGAGGACACAGCCAATCAGTTCATTCAGTTGGCCTTGTGAGCCAACGGACACCAATTTACACCCACGGCCGAACATTACCGTCTTTCTCCTGGGCGATGAGGTTGTGCTTGGCTTTGAGATTGGCTTCGAAGGTGTTGACGTTCTCGCGCTCGTACTCCTTGACATCAGCGGCCACTCGCTCCAGGATGTCATCAGGGGAGGGTGAGCGGCTGCGCGTGCTGCTCTGTGGGCTGCTGGGTTCTGACACCATGTTGGTGTCTTCGTTTGCAATTTTGTATTTCTGTAAGAACAAACAAATATATTCATGAATTAAAACTAAATCATCTACAGCCGAGCCAATGATGTAAGGTGAGTGGTGTATTTTGAATTATCTTGAAAGTTGAATTTATTCTAATTTTTGGTTTAGTCTTGTTGTTTATCAGTGGAAGCAGCGTTCAGTTTACAAAAATGTTGACATTGCCCTCTTGTGGCTGATGATGATAGAGGTTATGATTTTGATTTTCAATCGCAGGACTAGCTAATAAAAGTGTTATGCAGTCTGTTATATATCATAGCCTTACTGAGCACAGACCTGGACGATGGCCAAACGCTGCTGGCGGCGCTGTTCAATGAGTGCTTCTTCATCTACTTCCTCACCGTCATAGTCCTCCATCCTTAAAAGACAAAAACTTTTTTTAAACAATGACACCACGACAGTTTCAGTTAATGGAGTCAATCAGTGCAATCAGACGGCCTAAGCCTTCAAAGACTGATCTGAATAGCCTTGAAAACAATACTTATGTTCATCACTTATTCATATCTCCCCATACTCACACATCTTCCCCCGAGGACTCCTGATCCACCTTCATTCCCTCTGAAAGGCTGCCCTTGAACTTGTCTTCATCTCGGCTTCTCCGCCGCCTTCGCCCACGGTCACGTGACATGGAGCGTCGGTACTGTCTGGGCCGTCCATACCTGTCTCTCTCTCCAGACCTGAAGGAGTTAAATGAGCGTTGTTTCAACAATTCACTTCTTGTACCACATTTTTAGTGTGAACAAAACCACATGTTGAGTTAAAGACAAATGTTCACCACTCATTTTAACAAATACAGTGAGTGAAGATGAATGATGAGCATCAGCCACCTGTGTCTCAGTGGAGACCTGCTCCGCCTGCGAAGGGAGGACCGAGAACGCCGCCTAGGTGACATAGACCTCCGTCTCAGAGGTGAGCGACTCATCCTGCGGCGTGAGGGCGCTCTCGGACTGTTCTCCCGGGACCTGTCTCTTCCTGGTGCTGCATCTGGCCGTGAGCGTTTCCTGTACGGTTGCAGTACAACAAGTACACATTTACTACACCACAACAATTCTTGCTTTAAAAACAGAATCAGGTGTCATCACATTTTCTTAGTGACTCACAACTAGGAACTAAGGAACGCCCACAGCTGCTTTGACTGTGCTGTAATTTCTTTTCAGCATGTTTCAGCTGTGATGTCACAGCCTGAGCTGAAGCAGTGGAGAAGAGAACAGTAGCATCAGTGACAGTGTTACATTAGATGCTGTTCTCTCTTTTTGACCTCTAATTATAAACAGTGAAAATATTTACAATCTTACCTCAATGCTTAGTTTTTTGTATTGGTAAAACACCTTGTTTGTTTATTGTATACTAAGAAGTGAAAAAAAGATACTACATAAAATTATTTTGGATTCTTTGGCTGCTCTGCTGTGGACCTCCACCTTTCACTGACACATTTTCCCTCCAGTCACACCAGATTTGTAGTTCCATCAAACTACTTCCATTTTCTAACCTTAGTGGGGATTCCTGTCTGTCTGCGTCCCTCCTCCTCGTATCAGGTGATCGACTGCGCCCCCTCCGGGGCGGGGACCTTGTTCTTGATGGAGAGTGACTCTGTTTTGATGCCCTGTCTGCAGCACCCACTGAAGGTCGCCAGGCATCTCTGTGACGGGGGGAAGCACTGCGTTTCCTGGCGGGGGGACTGTGGGCTGGTCGCCTGTGCGGGGAGCGATTCTCTTTTCCCGACGAAGCGTCCTTTGACGGAGATTTGGTTGGTCGCTTCTCTTTGTCCGTGTCAGACCGACTGGGTCGCTCCCGCCCAGGTGATCGTGATCGCCGGGATGCTCTGTCCTGATTTGATCTGTCTTCCCGCTGTGGTGAGGGTCGTTTATCGGTGCGACCGCCTTTCTGCTCCCCCCTCCAGGCAGAGGGAGAACTGGACTTCCTTCTCTCCTTGGAACGATCAGTGCTGTCTGCACGTTTTCGGTCTTTGGACCTGCTCCTGCCCCGCCCTCTGTCCTTAACACCTGTGTCCTTGTTGCTTTTGGTCACCTTTTCCTGCTTTGTCTCCTTAGCTGGCTTCTCAGCAGATTTACTCCGACTGTGACGCTTGGAACTGGATTTATTGC